TTTTCTTAAGTGCTTATAAATAAGGAACACTTTCAGGGCATTCTTGTAGGAAATTGTGGTCAGTCTAAGAGGGTAAGAGCACTACTGACTTTGGATAGCAATGAGAATGCCTTGTTTCTTGCCACTTTCTGAAATTAGGCACTAAAAATCAGCATGAAGAAAACTAATTTCTTTTCCCTTTTGTGATTCACAAAGAGTCTTCCATAAAGGATGTTAAGTGATACATGCTACCAACCTTTTCTGAATTTCTTTTTTCTCGTAATTACAAAGGATGGTAGAAATGCATGTTAGATAACAAAGACCAAGTTGGGTGGAGGTGGAAAAATTATTTAAAAACATTTTCTGAGGTTTACAGAAGTTTCTGTACAATTTAAACTGCCATTCTTAAGAGTGAGTGGCTTTGAAATGTAGGTCTGAAACCTGTGAATTGCCCTGTTTATTTCAAGTGCATGATTAACTCTAGAGAGCAATTATGCCAATTCAACTTTTCTAGGTTGTATCTGGTTGCATGCTGATTTTCAGTATTGCACCGTTGCTATTTTCAATCCTACAGAGAAAGCAAGTGTTAACACTGCAATAAAGAAATTAATACCTACATATTGTGAGATCCCACTGTTGTGTCTGAACATTTCCATCACTGTTCAGAATGCTACTTTTGTTGGGGGGAGGGCACTGGGCTGTTATTTACTGTGTTAATTGATGCATAATACAAAAATACAATTCTGCAGATACCTTTATTGCATTATACCAACAGTTCAGTTAGTATAATTGGATACAAAGAGCAACCAAATGTAATTTTCTTTTACTTAATACTTGCTCCGCTGTCCCTTTCAGCTCCTTCATCTGATTAACTGATGTGACTGAGAGTTCTTCCGAGAAACAGCCATGGAAGTGCTCAAAACAGGACTCTCCCTGATGGAAAACACAAAATCTGTGCAACCACTAAAATGCTGTGGGGAAGAGACTGGAAGAAAACAGTAACCCAGTTTTTGGGTAAGAAAATTATTTGATGGCAGTTTCCATGCAAGAAATCAGGGCTGCACCATGGCTGGTGGATGTGCAGAGCAGAAGGGATGAAACAATGCAAGATTTGGGGGGAGAAAAGGTTAATATTTTTGCACATTGCACAACATGCCATTTTTGTACTGTGTGCCCTGACACAAATAAGTTGTCAGTGGGACAGAAGAGAAGCTGAAACATCAAAAGAGAGGCTATCCTCATGGTATTTAAAGCCTATTCAGAAGCACCAGAAATCTTTAATTAAAGCTTGATTGCTCTGTGTCTTGTTATCTCCTTTTGCCTACTGAGAATCCTATTTTGTCTCCTTCAGCTTCTGTGATAGTAATTTGTTTACCTCAAGTTCCTCATTATTGCTCACTGTATCTTTATGTGCCCGAATTTCCCATATTCTAGCCTTGTGTATAAAAGGAAATTGCACTGGTTTGATATAAATTGACTTTTTAATTGGTAGTTGAATGATAGTATGATTTGAGAAGCTTTCAGTTTTACTTAAACTAATACCTAACCAATTTAAAACCAAAGCCAGTGTAAGCCTGGGTTTACAACAGAATAAACAGCACTCAGCCTCTTGTACAGATTTAACCATCTCAATGAAAAATCCTGGTTCCATTAAAGCTGATTCAATCTTCTGGCAAATGCAGGCCTTGTTACAACTGTTTTTTCCAGGCTGCTTCTAGAATCAAGTTTCACCTGCATCCTTTCAGCAAGAAGCTGGTATTCCAGCAAATAACATATCATTAGTTAATTGAAAAGGAAAGCATTTGCACTGCCCTGTGAACATCTACCTAATGGCCACCTTGCACTGCAAGCAGCTGTGTGATTTGAAAACCGACAGGAATTTTTCCTTACTCGTCCTGCTCATCAAGGAACTTGAGAGAGCAGCACGACCAGATTAGTTGTAGGCATTTCAGGTCTTCTTCTACCCGGTGTGTTCATGACCCCAGGTGTGACACACTACGGGAGTAACACATTTCTGGATGCTTTAGGGTGTTTGACAGTGGCTGTATTGTGTATTTTGAGTCTCCAGTGTGCATGACCTGGTGGCACTCTGAGCCATGACCAACAGTGGCAAGCTGAAGAAGCAAGTCAAGGGCCTGAGAGCAGAGAGAGCAGGGGGGCTGATGGTGCCAGCCCTTAATTCTGCTGAAAATGCATTTCCAAGCGCAGGCAAAAGCAGCAGGTGTGTATATATGAGGTTGTGCTCACATACAAAGGTGCAAGTGGAGGGCCGCTGCCCTTGAAAACAACTGAGCTTGTTTGGATTTAATGCTGTGTAAACAAAGTGCTACCTGTCTTTCAGACTGTAGCTCCTGCTGCTAAGGCTGAGCTGGCCTGGGGACTTAGGGAGGGCATTTTATTATCCTGTTGTCTCATCAGCTTTAGGAGCACAGTTCTTTGTTTTAGTAAGATTTCTTAAGAAGGAAATATTATAGCATGTAATCCATCACACAAGTCAAGGATCCTATTAACTGTAATTACTTTAGCTGAGCTCATATTGGTCAGTGCAGTCTTTGGGACTTCAGGGTGGTGCTGATGCTGTTGGTTCACTCACACAACAGTAAATATGTGCCCATCAAAGGAAAGGCCTTCTCAGACTCTGCCTGAGGTTTCTTAAATGCATTATGGGATGCAGAAAGAAACAAGATTAAAGCTGGGTAAAATACATAGCCCAGGGACCAAACAAGCATCTGCAATGTTTCCTGACAGCAAGCAGGGGCTCAGTAACACAAAGGAAAAAGGGAATTTGGTGCTGCAGAGACCCTCAGAAATGCAATGACTTTCACTGCAAGAAACTGCCACTCAGCTTCTGTTTCTGCCCTCTCTGCTCTGAGGGCACAAGGGGAGAAAATTGCTGTAGGAGTAATTTCAAACCCCAAGGGCTAGAGACAATTTTAGAATATGAACAAGAACAATGATAAAGCCCAGAAAATAGGCAAGCTGTTTTAGATTGGAATTGCCTTGAATTTTCACCCCAAGGTCATCACAAATTATTTTAATTGCTCAAAGAACCTCAGTGACCTTCTCTTCTACCCTCATGCAATCTGATTCCTTTTATTTCTACTATCCGAGCCTTTCTTTAAATTGAATTCCTCAGATAGGACAGGGAGCAGAAGAGCTAGATGATGTCAAGTCTAGTAACAAGTAGAAAATAACAGAATTCTCAAAAAAAATTTACAGCCACAGGATTTCTAGCCCACACACACTTTACATTAATTTTGCATCTACAATCTAATGTTTTTTTTTCTGTTGCTAAAACAGTAGGTACCCTGGAAGGAAACGTATAGCTGCCTTAGGAAACTACATCACCACCTACAGAAAGTCAGCCAGAAATCCATAATCTACCCCTGCCTACGGATCCTACCATGAGATCACTGACCCAAGGGCAACACTGAGAGCACTTAAAAGACAACTCCACTTACAGGCAGGAAACAGAGATACAGATATTGAAGGGAGAACTTCAAAGGATCTTCAAAGAGAACATATAAAGATACTTTCGTAAATTATATCTTTGTGACAGACCAAGCTCACACACAGCATCTGTAATAGAGCTAAACACAACCTTTAGAGCTGAAGTGCAGCTTCACCCAGCCCAGCATCCTCTCACATGGGCTCATTGCCTCTGTCTCACTCCCTGGAGGCTCCTGACAGTGCTTCTGCACTTTTCTTGCTGTGTGATGCTCAGCACATAAAACATCAGTGAACTCCATGTGATGGCAACTCAGCTGACCCTGCAGGCTGTCCCCTCAGCCTCTGCTGTCAGAGCTCGCTTCACAAGAGAGCTCAGGCAGCAGCAGCAGCTGTGGCAGCACAGAGTGGGCTCATGGATCCAGCTTTTCAGGGAGCCTTGAGGGCTCTGCAGGGCTTTTGGCCACACTGACCAGCCTGCTGTCAGCATCAGAGCAAACACCATTAGTCCATACATCTCAGCAGAACACTGCAGGTAGCAAAGTGAAATACAGCCTAGAAAAGAACAGATGCAAAGAACTCTTCTTAGGCAGAAGAGTGGGAGAGAAGGAGGCAGCAGGAACAAATCCCTAGGCTTACTGACAGAGCAAAGGAGGCATTTATCAACCCCGCTCTCTAACTTAAGAAGGGAGGTATTTCAAATTAGCAGGTAGCTGCCCTAAGTGAGGAGAAACAGCTGCACATGGTGCTGGGGACTGCAGTTGTAACAAGCGCTGCCTCTCCTGCAGCCACCCCTCACTTCCTTCCATGGTCAGCCCTGCTGCCCTAGATAGGCTGGAGGTTGTGGCTGCTTGAACCAGCTAGGAAGAGAGGCTGGCAAGGAGGAGGGAAAGAAGCCAATTCAAATGGAAATGCATCTCTGAGGCCCAAAACAGATATTGTGAATATGTGTGAAATCCTCGGAGAGGAGAGAGGAAAGCATTTGGGAGACAGAGATGGGAGGCTGAAGGCAGGGAAGGGAATTCTTGCATCTATTTGGCCCACACAATTAGTTAGGTTGGAAAGAGGAGCTGAAGGGTAGGGGAGAATAAAGTAACGTGAACATACAAGACCGACATGTCTAAGTCCAGTACTGTGCTGTTTCAAATGGACAATGAATATTTTCTGAAAAAGTGAGGTTATGTAAGTTCAAACCAAGTCTGTAGCAACTAGAGTTGGGTGTTAAGGTTAATAAATGCTAAACTCAGTCAATTTGGACACTTCACTTTAATTCCTGCCCATTTTTAGATGACCATGACACCAAACACACTTATCTTACAGTTTAAATCCATGTTTTACTTCAAGTGGCTCCCTCTGGTTCTTTGACCAGCTGGCAGCCTGTTACAGTTAAAACCAATTTACAGTTAGCAGCTAAAGGTAATGTCTTTGTAGAGTATGTTTGTTTTATTTGTAAGGGACTTGGGAAAAGCTCTAAACAAAGGCTTTGGGGGGAAAAATTGCATTTAGCCACATCTAAATGAAATCTGTGCTAGTTGGAAATCTCTCCTATCTGATGACGCTTCTCAGACAGTTACCTGCTGGATCAGAAAAGGGGGCACTGCTGAGCTGGAGATTTCCCAGGAGCTTTTGTTCCCATCCAAACTTCTTCTGGACACCTCTACTGGTGAGCAAATTGTTTGAGTCTGGAGTGGTACCTCGAGGTGTCTTCTCTCCACTGACTAAAAAACAAGAAATCACAGATTGGTTTATGGCTGAGGGGGACTGAGTCACTATGTAATCCAAAATTGGAGCTAAAATAAGGGCTGCAGACTTCTGTGCTAAGAGCCTGCAGTCACAGGATATAACATTATTAAAAGAAATGGGCAGATTTACTTTCCAATGTTGTTGTTACGGAACTGAGACAAAAGGAAAATAAACAGGAATGAGTGGTAGGCAAAACATTAAGCGAAAGAAGACACAAAGCAGAAATACATTATACAATCTTTAGCAATTGTTATAAATTTTTTTCAGCCGGTAAAAGTCTGAGGAATTTTCTTTAATTCTATCCTAATTTTAAGATCTCTTTGAATACTGTAACTTGAGGTATATTGCACTTATGCACAGAACCCAAGAGGTATTACTGCATAAATGGAGAGACTCATGCCCCAGGCAATGCAAATTAACGTAACACAAAGCAGATGAAACGTTCTGACTGCAGAAGGGGTTTAGAGGTTTTCAGTCCAAACAGGGCTACAGAGGTTGCAGCTCCAAGCGCAGGAGAAGAAAGGATGCACTTAAGTTCTGCTGCTCAGCCCAAGGCAGAAGTTTAATTTGTTCAGAGCAGCAATTCTCCAGCCCTCATGTAAGTTGTTGGTCTGAGGTACAGAGTGACAGATCATTGAACACATTTACAAATTAAGCAATTCACTATGCATGAGATTATGAAAGATGAGTCTGACACAAATGTTTAATAAAAATCTACATGTGCCATCAGAGGTAGAGACTGGGCATATTCTAGAGGCCAGTCAATCACAAAGCCAGGATCAGAATCCAAATTTTTCCCCAGAGCAGTAGAGTGTGAAGATCCTAGTTTCTGATTCAGACTTAAATGCATGTCAGTCTAAATAAAATAATCTTGTTCTAATTTAACTGGAGTATTGTGCCCAATGTTATTGCAAAGTTAGTGTCAATCACAGGATGCCTGTCTTTTCCCAGCCAGTGTCCAAGTGCCATTCATTTTGATAACTGTCACACAGCAAACCAGGTCATGTGGAAATCTATAATCACAGACTGGCTTCTGCATCAGCCTGGCTGGACAGGTGATGGTTCTGCCTCAGCTGGGAGCTGATCTCCCACACCCTGTGTCTCACTACCCACTTATGCCAAACTGGGAAACTCGCTCCCTGCTCAGCTCCACCAGTAAGGAATGCACCTGAGTGGGGCCCTCTGCCTAAGCACGGGGATTTCTGACACAGACCTTTGCCTTTCAAGAGTCTTTTGAAGATAATGACACCCAGCCTGTTCCCCACAGTTTCCAAATTTCAATTACATGGCAAATAAAAGACAAGTCGCTTGCAGATAAAAGGAAAACTTACTTGTTAAATAACAGTCCAGACTAAGGGAGACATTGTCAAAAGCAATAATGGCATCAGAGCCTTCTTCCCATGAAGCGGTGATCTGAAACCAGAACCTGCACAAATTGGAAAAAATGGGATTAAATTCTGCTAAAGAACATAAAATTCAGAACTCTTCACAATTAAAGCAGATTTTGAATGGCGAAGAAAAACTTTTCACATATAAAAATATTAAATTGATAGAGAAAGTATTTCACTCCTAACAAAGAATGATCTGAGGAGGGGAACTATATAGTAATATAGGAGGACAGAATTGGAGAATATTGCCCCTCTTTCCTCCAGAAAAACAGCCTGAAGGAAGCAGAAGTGTGTGTATGCATGTTGTCAGAAAACAAAGTCCCGTGGATTCTGGCACAAATGAAAAACCAACCAACCAACCAATCAGACCTCTAAGAGGTTTTATTCTCAGAAGTGATTTACAACCTAAGGTGTTAAGAAAAGTAAGTAGGCAGGGCTCCTGAAGTAATTTGGAGTTCCTAAAAGGAACTGGCAATCAAAGGCTGAACCAATTTTAGAAAGTATTTGGTGTTGATGTGCTCTGTAGGAAGCAAAGAGTGTCTAACAGCCCTGGCAGTCACAAAAGAGAGGAACTGACACTGGGTAGTCCACAGGAAGAGCAGAACTCATTATCTCCTTAGAGAAGCTGAGGAGGTTTGCCTTAAATCACTTCCTGATCTAAGGAAAGCTGGCTTTTGCTGGCAAGTTATGCCACTCTTACATTACCAGAAGAAAAATCACTGTAAATTCACTCTCAGTGATATTAAAAGTCAACAGGAAGAGCAAAAATTACCCACGACCAAATACTTCAAATCTGACGGTACACTGACCACGCATTAATTTCGTGTACTCGTGGATTTAGGTTTTCTCTCAGCTTAGCAAGTTCATGTTCTCTCAATGCATATCTGCCACATAAAATCGTAATACTCTGCTTAGGAAAGAGAAAAATTTCTGAAAGCAGCCAACCATAGCTGAGCAGTCAGATACAATGCTCAGAGGTTGCATCAAGACTATAAAAACATGAAACGATCACATGATGTGGAACAAGCTGCAAGTGAGTATGAAATATTATTTAAACCTCATTCTCTGTTGTATCTTGATGTTTTACACCAGCAGAAGTTAAACCATTCGTGGGTCTCTTTAATACAGATCTATTGCTGGTGCTTCTTGCTCTATATTTTAGAGATAAATGTTCAGTCAGAATGTGAATTCTTGCAAGTGTTTCAGTTCAGACAAGAAAATGATGACAGAACAAGGTATTTTTGAGGAGCACCTCTATTTCTTTCAAAAGGCTTTAGAAATCCTGTCTCTTCCTTGCAGCAAGGATCTAAACACTGGCAGATTTTTTTTTTCTTCTCACAGACTCTAGTCCTTTCTGCATGGCACTGCGTCTAAAATATTTTCTCTCAGCTTTGTGTATGTTATTAGCATTCTTACATTAGTCTTGGTGATTCTACTGTTTTTAAATACTACTTCTCCTTTACCAGCAAGCCACCCTCAAAACCAAAATTCCAGTGAAGCTGCCCTGGTCATGTGCATGTTTACTGTGGGACAGCATATTCCTGTGTTTTGAATGTGGATTTTGACTGAGACACCTGACACTGTCAGCAAATGTAACCAACTTCCATGCTGCTCTCCAACACAGGGCAGCTTTCCAGAGGGGACAGTGAGGTTTGGCAAAAGCTAAATCAGACCCCAGGGATATTTGTGAGGATATTTTGAGGATATGTAGATTGGAGTGTCATTGTTGCCTGCAACTGGTGTTCTTGCTAAGCTACAGCTGGGCACAGAGTCAGAAAAGCTGACACAACCAAAGCAAAAAGTCAAACCAGAAAAAACTCCTATCAGCCTCCAAAAGGTGCAAAGGGTTTAGAACAGACCACAGTCCATCCACAACAGAAAAGATTTCTGTAGTTAAAATGTTCCTCCTTCTTTATTCCTCCTAAAGAAAAGCAACAATGTTCCAACACTGAAATTTCTCACTCCTTGGAGATATGCATTGCACATATGGAGAGACTTCACTAAAACTGACTTTTTGTGTTCTAAAGACATGATCAGCTGCCATGAAAGAGCAGGTGACTGACACAAATAATAGTGGATATGGTGAAGGAAGAGTATCCCTAGCATCAAAGGCAACTCCAAATTACAAGACAAAATTTTCCTTGCTAAATGATCCATCTTTATCAGCTCAAAAGGTGGCAGCTCCATACACACAAGTCTGAATATCACAAAAGCATATTTTTAGCCTTCCCAAATCCATAAAAAGTGCAACTGCAGCCTGATGCTGCCAGCAGTCTCACAGTTCTTAGCTGGGATACCTGAAATCCCTTGTGGGTATGTCTAGGAGGAGAACAGAAGGGAACATATAATCTTTGGATATTAAATTGGCTTCTGATGGAATTGGCTGCCCTCCCCCTGCCTCCCTCCCTCATTTGCTCTACAGCTGATATCCCACAACACTTCAAATGAAATTACAGGCTCTAGCATAAACATAAGCTGTTCAGTTTGAGATACGCCATACAAGACTTAAACAAAAGCTGTTGGACACACGCAGTGGGCTCTGAATCTACTTTTTCCTGCAAGTCACAGTGCCAGCAGCAGAGACAATTGAACTGTGTGTGAAACAGGTCCTAAAGCACCACAGGTCACATTCTGTGTGTGTTATGGAGAACCAGCACCTACCTCAGGCTGTAAAATACAGCAGAAGCTTCTCCTTCCTTGTTGTGTGCTGCTGAAATGCCCAGGAAGAGGCAGGGTGGAACCTGGCTCAGCTGCACGTCTTTCAGACAGCTCTGTGTGAAAGTCACTGCCCTGCACACAGCGACCACTGGTGCTGCATTGAAGGGACCAAGTCTGGTGCATTTGAGCCTCAGCCTACTTCCTCAGGGTGTACACTAAATGCCGTTTGCAGACAGGGACACTTTGATGTGAATTTATGTTTGTAAGGTGTTAAACTGAAGCTGCAAAATTAATTACAAAGACAAATAAGCAATTGCTCTCTGTCAAGCAATTGCAAAGCTTTTCCCTCCTGCAGACTTTAGCTCAGGGAGCATAAGAGACAGATACCTCTGCAAAGACTACAGTGCACCTTCTTTCTGCCTCCAGGCAATGGAGCTCTTCTAAAAATATCTTCAGGCAATTTCCAAAGGTCCATGCCCCAAGGTGTTACGCATTGATGCACTTTTCATGTCGTGCCTCTTCAGTCAATAAAGGGTTGTTCTTATGAGAATTATCAAATGTTCAGTTTCTAAGACCTTGAAGGCATGACACAAACCAGTATTTCTGTTGTTGAAGGGAGTGCCATGTTACATGCCCATATCAGAATGCGATAGGTTGCTTTTTACTTTTATTTACAGTTCATTCAAGCTAAGAGATAGCCTTGCTGATTTCACCTGCAGGAACACCGGGACCAGAACTCTCCACAAGAGAAATTTCCACAAGTTCATCAGGGATGAAAAAAAAAAGACAGAAATGCCTCCAAAATACAAAAATTCTGTGAATGCTGAACACTATTAGGACCATCAGTGCTGCTTGGGTTGCCTATTAATCTTATTTTTTTGCTAACATGAAAGCAATTTCAGTACAAACCTTCTCTTGAGACCAGCATTTCTGCAACAAATAGTTCATCATTTTATCTTCCCTTGTTTAATGCCACTATTAATTTAGAAATGTGATGTCTTTCAAATTCCATTGAAAAAAGATCATCAGTTAACCAACATTTCAATCATTAGCTTTGGTGGTTCTAGCTTAATGGGCTAATTAAGGGAAATTTAATCAAAACTCAAGATGGAAATGTCACACATCAGTGAAATGGAAAAAACCCCACAGACGATCTCATTCCCTTGCTCCCTCTCCTTTATTTTTATTTTTCCCCTTTCCGTTTGATCCCTGAAATCAATGAAATAACTCCCTCTAACTTTGGTGGGAGCTGACACTGAAGCAGCAGCAGCAGCAGTGACTCAGAACAGCCCTGGAGGTGACAATCACCACAAACTGGTGCTTGTGCACAGATCAGAGAGGGGTAACACTGCCTGCACACCCTGCATCTCCACTGGCCCCAGCACAGATGCTGCTCCTCAGCCAGGCACAGACACACCCACTGCAAACACAGATGCTGCAGTGAATGGCCAGGAAAGAATATTCCTGAAGGCACAAATACAGGAGCAGCCAAATTATGGCTGGCATGTTTGCCATGACTTTGTGGCTTAATAAATCCCTGCAACCTCCTCACATGGAAGCCAGATCCTCATCAGATAAGTCACTGTTTGTAAGCTAGATTTCTTCACAGAAATGAAAGTATGGCAACTATGAAACATTTTAATTGGATATTAGAAAAATTACGACTTGAGGAGTGGTGGAAATGACTTCTTAACTCTCTCCTTTTGCCCTACTTCAACCTGGAGCACAGCTACAAAGAGGATTCCTTAGATGTTTGACAACTGGGAAGTACAAGTTACACCCTGCAGAGCTGAGTGCTAGCTGAGCTGTGAAAGCAAAAACATACAAAGGCCTTTTTAAAAGAAATTCTGTTTGAGGTAAACAGGAAATGCTGCACCAGGGGGACACCCCCCCTCCTCCTTTCAATCTCCTCTCTGGGGAACATCAGCTCCTCTGTTTGAAGGATACAAATTTTACATACATTCAAAAACCACCCAAGGGTGACCACTGCTCAAATATTTCAGTCACAGATAAGAAATTACACAAAATGAGCTTTTTTTGGTTTGTAACTTCGGTCCCATCTGTGAAATATCAATCCATATGAACAGTTCTTTGAAAGCATAATTTAACTCAGTTTAATCTGACCAAAACAGGACAACATCAAAGCTTCTGGTCTGTAACCTTTCCCTCTCCTCAGGTTTTTTGAATCTTGGGTTTTATTTCAGTGTGGTCAATATTTGAACTTTGTCACATCACCCTGGGTTTTCTGTTCACCTCTTGATTCTAACAGGAGACTGGCTCTCCCCAAAATATTTGGGGCTTATGAGAGGGAAATGCAGAACTAAAAGTGTGAAGATGTATTTATAGCTATGTTGGTATAGCCTCCATGAGGACACTCTTT